TAAGTCACTCGGAGATCGATAAATGACAGCACGACAGTTTGAAAGCAGGTTCGAGTCAGGTACATGCACCACAAACGATAAGCGTCAGCGAGCAATCTAACTTCGGTTAGTCGGCAAGGAGACGATGTGAGAGAAAAATCCTTCCCGTTTTATTACGAGAAGCAGACATTAAAACGGAGAGCGTTGACAGAAAACATCGGTCGATTAAGAACCTACACGCTGACCTCTGCTACTGTTAAACACTTCCGACCTCGAAAAAGCATCATCTGGCTGGCTTATGCATGCCGATGGTTTGGGAAGGCTATTTTTACGCCCAGACAAGGTCCAGAGTCACACATGATATGTAGGGATGGCCATCCATCAAAGAAGTTTCGTCGAAAAACGCACGATATCGTCAACCATGTCTACTGATAAGGACACCTAGAAGGGCAAGGTAATACGAACCCAACCGCAATAATACAGGTGGCTTTGCGCAAATTTCCAGGAGAGGTATGTATTTTTGAGTCAGAACCGTAATGCTAAACCGAACCCCAAACCTTAACCATAAGCCTACATTTAGTCCTGATCCTAATCTCCTGTGATATTCACACAAAGCTCCCGAGCTGAGGAGAGACCCTAGTCTTGTGACTTGCTAAGCATTTTATAAGGGCAGACGATAGAAAAAAAGGGAAAGCACTTAACTCCACTGCACGATAATTTGCTGACAATGGCACAGCGGCTCAAACGAATATTTTAAGTTGTTATATGTTTCGAGCCTAGCAGTGATTAAATTTACAATCGATAAATCTACGGGAGAAATCATATGAGCCATTGGATGGAAGGTCGTAACTGACCTACACAGAAATGAAGGGCCTCGCGAATGGAAAGGAGTGAAATGACCAAGGACAGGTTGCGATGTCACCTTTAAAGCAATTATGGCTCGTCTCATCAAACCCTTTCCGTCAAAATACTTTACACAAATACCGACGTATACCTGGTTGTCTGGTCCGATCACTCTTGAGACCTCAACCCCGCAGGACGGGCTCCAGGTTGTCCGGGTGAAGAGGTTCCACGGGTAAAAACAAATTTTTTCGGTAAATCCCATCTGCATTTTTCCGATACCTCAGGGAAATTGTCCTGATCGGTGACTGGCAGGTTTATAGAAAACATGTTACGACAAATTCGTTCTACAATCGCTATAATTGTAAACTCAATTTGCAGTTAGCCCTGGTCGTCCATAAAAACACATTGTAATAATTTTCTCCGTACCTTTTTTACTTATGCGAGTCATTTGTTTTGGAAACGGCTGAATGGCTTATGATGAGAAATAAATTGCTATGACATGGAAACGGTAATTTAGGTGTCCGCACAAAATTCCAGGAAGGTTCAGTAATCCTCTGCCCTGATTTAACCCAAACCTTAGACCGACTCTTGTCTTAACATTAACCCCAATCTCCCCGTTAATTAGGGAAAGGAACTTGGAATACGGGGGTTCCTCTTCCTGTGTCTTGCGAAGAAAAAGTCTCCATCCGTTAATAGGTGAGACACTTGTCGTCGTCTTAAAGTGTCAAGGCCTCAGTTATTTATTCTAGTTAGCGTCATTCCTCTAGACATTCTACGCC